TCCGCCACCGTCCCATAGGACCCATGCCTGGGTCCTATGGGACGGCTGTCACTCCTAAACACATATGTCTGGGTCTACACTCTGTAGATTGGCGTGCTGGCCCGCACGCCAATTTGCTTTGGCGTGCAGGCGCGCACGCCAATCCGCACCTGGCGTGCAGTTTGGCGTGCGCAATGGGGGCTGGCGTGCGTTTATCAACGCCCACGAGGTACAAGTACCTCGTCAACTGGAAGGACACCCTTCCGGTCGACAAGGTACAAGTACCTCGCCGGCTGGAAGGAAGCCCTTCCGGTCGACGAGGTACAAGTGCCTCGTCGACTGGAAGGACACCCTTCCAGTCGTTGAGGTACTTGTACCTCGACGGCTGGAAGGAAGCCCTTCCAGCCGGCCCTTTAGAGGGCGGGTATCCGAGGATACCCGCTCAGATACCCGCTGCGGCCGACGGATACCCGCCAGCGGGTGCGGATGCACAGATGGCCGGAAAAAGCAGCCGGATATCCGCATCCGCGCAGATATCCGGATGCCAATCGACCATCTCTACCAATGATAATGACACCATTTTCTTTGGTTTGGGACCGAAGGATCCAATTGCCACAACTCTGCAAATTTCAGATACTGAGGCACTATTCCATGTGTCTACAGAGATTGTAACCCCTCCAGGCTAAATAATAATAAATATTATTATATTTATTCTTTAAATTAATAAGTATTTATTTAAATTAATAATGATTTACCTCTGTACATATTTATCTCTCTATGGATAATTAATGTAACTCTCTCATGAGAATAATAATCAAATTGAAAAGGATAATTATCTATTGTGTTTATCCAAGTGATTATCATCCTGTTTATCTCTCTTGTGTATCTCTCTTGTGTATCTTCTGAAATAAGAGAGATATTCTACATATGTAATTCTATCTTCTGAAATAAGAGAGATAGTCAACACATGTACATTTGCATGTTTGAATATATTGACACTTTCTCCCAAAGGAATAGTGTAACAATAAGGGAACTGCACTGGTCCAACAGGCAGCCTGAACCCTGTCTTGCAATAATTAAGGGGAAGGCTTTCCCTCTAGTATTCCTTCCCCCAGAGGTTATTGCCATACAAACCTGTGTACCTTACTTAATATTGGTAAGTGGTGTTTTAGCAGTACACTCTCCCTTTTCTCTTTACCTTCCATCTTTATCCTTATTCTACTATCCTAGACTACAGTTAAGGCACTACTGTAGTCCAGAAGAGAGCCGCTTTTGATCTGATCTGAGCTTGGCGTGGTGATGCCCATTCCACCATTGTCTCCTCACCCAGGGAGCTAACCCCTCCACCTTCTGATGTTGAGTTGAGGTTTATTTCCACCAGCCACCTCTGTGGCTATAGTGTGACCTAATACCCTATCAACTCCTGGTCACATAAGAGACCGGAGCTGACAGCAAAATAGAAAAACAGAATGTGAGTGCTATTTTCTAGGATCGCATACACTCCTCAACTTGGAGTTTGACAGCAAAAAAACTGAAACCAGCCTGTTTGGGTTTGGATGTGGGGTCAGGGATGGGATTGACCTCCCTCCTCAATCCATGGGTTCATACAAATTGCAATATTGGAGTTTTAACCAATCAAGAATGTTTTTAGCAATACAACAAGTGTTCAAATACTAAATTTTGAGCCCCAGCAGAACCACAAGATTAATTGAGTTGCTTGTACACCAGGAGAACTTGATGAGCACTTGATGACAGACATGTGTCATCCAAAATGAACAAGGCACTATTTGAATGTGGAATTCCACTTCTCATCAAGTGATCATCAATCTTCCTGTGGGGTTGTTGTGTTGGCAACAGATGCTTAGCTGTGACCCATACACTGCAAGAAACTTGGCCAATTACTTGCCTCTCCAACAGGATATAGAATATGTACACCACGGGACCATTCTGATGTCCGATGGACACTCTTCTGGAAATCATCTGAGCTGTCCAGAACTTGCAGGGCAGAGAGTGTCCATTGGACACTACTCTTCCTGACAGTTTGTGGACGTTTTCTGGAAAACTGTCCATTGGATGGTTTTCAATCCGTCCAATGGATGATTTTTATTGCAGTGAAAAGAAAAAAAAGTGAGGACATCCCAAGTTGAACCCAGGATCTCATGGTCCATGACAGTGCACATATTCAAGGCATGTCCTTACCCACTGCACCATGCATAATTATTATTCCATGTCTACCCAAACTGTTGTTCATAGACCCAATCAGAGCAAGCCATTTCACAGCTTTTTTTGATGACCAAGTTCATTTTTGGAGCTTTTTTCAACAATCACTGCACTTGCACTTTTGGAGAGTTTTTTGACAATCAACCGCACTTCTGGAGTGTTTTTCAACGATCAACCCCACTTTTGGAGCTTTTTTTCAACCATCAACCGCACTTTTGGAGCTTTTTTAAACCATCAACCACCAGCTCCAATTGGCAATGTTAAATCAAAGTGTCCAATGGACACACTCAAAACCATCATCCATTGGAAACTCTTGGTTGGAGAGTATCCGATGGACAATAAATCATGGGGCTGGGAAAAACGACTCCCACATTTTAGTCGCCAACTCCCAAATACGGTCGTCCGACGTCGAATGGGATTTGTTTTTCCAAATGGATGGCCAACTTTGGGAGTCGGCCATCCAATGATGTTTTATTTTTTTAAATATTTTTTTTGCATTTTTGGGAGTCGGGTCCCCAAACCAACCCTCATGCTTGAGGGGATTTGGGAGTCGCTCCCACATGACCGGAAGGAAATCCTTCCGGTCAATAAGAAACAACAATACCATTGACCGGAAGTGATTCCTTCCGGTCAATGGGGCTGTTACACCTCACCAACCGGAAGGGATTCCTTCCGGTTGATGAGGTTGTTACACCTCATCAACCGGAAGGAATCCTTTCCGGTTGATGAGGTTGTTACACCTCATCAATTGAAAGGAATCCCTTCCGGTCCTCATCGAGCAGAAGCGATTCCTTCCGATCGATGAGGTGTAACAACCTCATCGACCAGAAGGGATTCCTTCAGGTCGATGAGGTGTAACAACCTCATCGACCAGAAGGGATTCCTTCCGGTCAATGAGGTGTAACAACCTCATCAACCGGAAGGAATCCCTTCTGGTTGATGAGGTGTAACAGCCCCATCGACCAGAAGGGATTCCGTCCGGTTGATGGTGTTGTTGTATCTCATCGGTCGGAAGGAGATCCTTCCGATCGATGAGGTGGCTAGCCTAGACCGGCCGGAACTTCTGGTCACAAAGATTGGTCTCGATGGCCGGAAGGGGTTCCTTCCGGTCATCAAGATTTTATGGTCTTGATGACCGGAAGGGATTCTTTCCGGTCATTGAGACTGTACAGTCTCAATGACCGGAGGGAATCCCCCCCCGGCCAGTGGGAGGGAGGCGACTCCCAAACCTCCCACTTTCCAAGGAGGGTTTTGGGCGCCGACTCCCACCCAAAAAAATAAATTTTAATAAAAAAGAATTGGGAAGTTGACTCCCAATCCCCCAGGGGGAATTGGAAAGACGACTCCCGTCCGACGACCCCTCGACCAAAATGGGAGTCGTCGGCAAATTTTAGGGAGTCGTTTTTCCAACCCCCTAAATCATAGTGTCCATCAGACGCTTCATATTTGGCCAGTGTCACTTGGATGCTTTTGGAAGCATCCAAGTGATGATGGCTTGCCAGAGCGTCCCTCGGGCGCTCTGATTGCATCCGTTGGACGCTCTCTTCAGGAAAGTGTCCAGCAGATGGGGCCAGTTTCAAAAAGCTGGCCCTGTGGTGTAGTTTGGTTAACATATGCACTGAACTTGGCCTGTCACAAAACACAGTTGCTTGCTCTTAGTAAATGCATCTATTGCCTAATCCCATTGATGATTAAATATTTCATCAGATTTCATGATACCTGTAATAAAGTATATTTAGACCTAGCCTCAGCCAATGTTTTGTCAAAGTTTCTTGAAGGATCTTGTATCCAATAGATATTTAGTTTAAGTCTAGCAAATTTGAAACACAAGGGCCATCAAACTTACCTTTGAATTGGATTCACAAAACTATGTCTGTTTTGTCAGAGCTGGCTCTGTGAAGACTTGTTGTATGGATTTACACATGGATTAAAATATGTAAAAACAAGCTTATCAAAGTTCTCTTCCCCATACAGATGTTTCCCCATACAGATGTGAGAATCTGCAATATATCTAAGGTTGGTGCTTCAGGAATTTCCCTCTGAAGGCCCTGTGATTTTTTAATACTAGTTACACTGTACAATACAAATCTTTCACATAATTACTTTGAATGCCCCTCTTTGCAGTAGATCTTGTAAGACCTGGCACATGTAGTTAGTATGTTTTGAACACCTCAAGCAATGTTCCAACCAAACTGTCTTGTCAAAGCTCTTCCAATCACATTTTGATACATTCCAAGACATGACCATATTCACATGCCAGTTTTTGAAAAGTACATGCTTGTAGGAGGAAATGTATGGACCCAAAACACTTAAAATCTTGTCTCAACTTTTTTGCAGGTATGGCCAGTAGATCAGGATGAGGAAAAGTATTACTGTGTATATTTAAACAGGCTTTTTGGATTTAAATCAAATTGAAATAATATAATCAGTTCTCCTTGCATTCATTCTGGACTTGAGAATATTTCATCTTACAAAAAGAATCAGTATTATCTGAAAAATAGTGGATTGCTTCACAAATTAGTTTGGTGGTACCTTATTCTTCCTATATCTTCCTATACAGGCTAACACCAAAAACTCATTTTTTCTATGATCAACTCTCTTCAAAAAAAATCAAAAGACTTAAATCCTGATTCAGATCATTATCAATAATTATATAATATCATCACTGATTTATACTAATTCACTATTTTTTGATCCTCAGGTTCCTCAAAACAAATTATTGCACAATCCCGTTATACTGGTCAGTGGAATTTGAAATGCCTTTTCCAGAAACTCTCTAGATTCATGAGGGCCTTCATTATCATGTCAAATCACTTGAACTGACTACAATCCTTACAATTTGCTCAATTGAAGTTCTCATAAAGATCATTCCATTTTAAACACAGGATCACTTGGAATTTCTATTCAAATCAAAGGAAAATATCATTGAGTAAATCAGGGATAAACTGGTGAATAGGGTTCCACAGATCTTTTGGTATTTTACTTCAACTGGTTTGTGAATCACTTTCAATCCTCTTTCTTGCTCATGCACACATACATTTTTTATACTTCCTGTTTTTATATCTGTTTATGAAATATCTGATTGGAAAATCACCACCCAATTGAAAAAAAAAAAAAAAATTGCAGATCCATTGGTAAAAAATGTATCTCTTTGAAGAAGAAAAAAAAAACATTCCTTATTCTTGAAAAATAAAATACATAACATAGTAAATATGACTCCAAAATTTCTCCTTTTACTGGTTTTTGGTATTTTGCATATTACACTGTGTGATTTTTTTACTGAACACATGAGGATCATTCCCAAAGAAGATGTGATTTCTATTCACTATTCACCCAAAATACCTGAAGTAAATAATTTTCATAGAGTAGAATTAAAATACAGTGAAGCAGAACAGGAACTGAGTAAATTACCAGAAGGAGATAAAGCTATTAAATTTCTGCATTCTGTTGCTGCAAAGAGAATAAA